AGCGCCGTCGCCTGGTTTTGCTGTGGTGTTTGGAATGGTGGTGATGGCGATGTCGGCGGCGGTGGCGGTGGCGTCCTCTGTGGTGATGGTCGGACTTGCGTCGGCTCTTGTGATGGTGGCGGCGACTGCTGTGTGGTGGTTGTGGGGAAGGTGGTTGTGGCGCTGGTGAGGCAGTGGTGTCAGGTTTGTCTGATGCTGGGATTGAAGGTCCCGGTGCTGGTGCGGCAGGGACCAGCGAGGGGGATGCTGAATGTTGGGATACGGTGGCCGGTGTGTTTTGGACTGGTAGTGGATTGTCCTGGGCAGTCGTGGGGATGGGTTGGATCGGTGGTGCTGGATCCGATGGTAGCTGCTGTTGAAATGGAGGTTGGGTTGGCGTTGAGGCAGTGGTAATGTGTGGAGGCGGTGGTGGGGGTCCCGGTTGGAGTGGATGTTGTGTGACGGGGGGAAAAGCTGAATAGGGTTGCCAAACGCCCTGGGGGATGGCACATTGGGGATCTGTGGATGGATAATTGGCAATCGCAGTCTGTTGTTGTGTTAGAGAGGGATGTGTCAGTGTGGTGGGGGGAGGAAGTTCGGCTGGTGGTGTGGGATGATGTGGTGGTATCAGGTAGGACGGGGGAGGTGCTGCTGTCGGAAACACTGGAGCTGGATGTGTGGGTTGCGGTGGCACGTGACATGGGGGGACAAAAGTCCAAGTGGATGGTGTGCCGTAGGTCAGTGCGGTAGCAGTAGGGGTGGATAAAACCGGTTGTGGTTGAAATGGCTGTGGTTGTGGGTGAGGGTATGCCGATGGTTGTGTTGTGGGAAAGGTGGGTGCAGTTGATGGCTGCGGCAGCGGCCATGTGGGTTGAGGTTGTGTGGTAGGTAGTGGTGGTGGCGTGGTGTGAGCATAGGGCCACGGAAAATGCATGTCGTGGTCGTAGCTATGGCTCGGCGCGGCGCGGCAGCAAAAGGCAGCGAAGAAATGCCGAGTGGTGTTGTCTTGTTGTTGTTGAAGGTGTCAGGGCTGGTGTCGGTGGTGGGAAAGTTGTAAGGTGATGCTAAGCGTTAGCTTGTTGGTAAGTGTGTGTTCATGCATCTCGAATTAAGCTGAAGAGTTGCAATGCCCTTCCTTGAGTGCTGTTGATGAGAGAGTCGCGGCAGCAACATAACGAACACCTAAACATGTACATGAAATCAAAAATCAGAAGTTCTGAGTCTGATGGATTTGTCGAAAACCGTTTTTTGGCCCGGCGGCCGTTGTGGCAGTTGATTCAAAGAGGGGGTCGGTGCTTTCCTGTGATGTTCCAGTGATCGGTGGAGCGTTGGGGTGGTTGCTTTCCCATGCAAAAACAGCGCCCCTGTGAAGGGGATCACACTCAGCACCCGAGTGGGACGGCTGAGCAGGACACACTTCGAACTTTGATTGTCAGTTAATGCAATCTCCCGAGGAAAAGAATGGCTCAACGGTAAGGTGGAAAGTCAGCGCAATTGTAGATGTTTGAACAAATGGTTTTGGCACATCTGCAGTTCACAAGAATAGCGGTGTCGAGCGATCAGTGCGGCTGCACATCTGCGGTGGGAAAAGGTTTTGGGGTCTATCGTGAGAAAAACCATGGAACCAACGAACAGCAGCAGGGTGGACCATTGGTGTCAATGTGTTATTCTGCAGGTACAGGATCAAGCGTCCTTGATCCCTTCCCATCTGTGGTCGTAGCTTCGTTGCGTGCAGTGGACCACAGATGCTGCACGCCCCTGCTTGTGGAGTGGTGGTGGTGGAAAAACCCTTTGTCCAGGGTGGGACACACACACACTGACACACATTTCCACATTTCCATTTCCACATGTCCATTTCCACATGTCCATTTCCACATTTCCATTTCCACATTTCCATTTCCACAGTTTCGATTATTCCATTCTGTCTGCACATTGCATCACATATCCCATTTCCTTTTCCACATCTCGACCTTTTTTCCACATGTCTGAACAGTCCCACATTTCAAGCATTTTTCACCTTTCTGCTCAAGTTGGGGCAATTTTTGTCACAGCGCTGTCGCGGCTTTTGAACCATGGGTGGGGATGGAGGCGGTGACAGCGCTGCAGAGCTGCTGGCTTTGGAGGACGCCACGGCTGCTGCAGAGGCCAGAGTGACTGAAGAGGCTGAAACTGAGACTCCAGGCGCAAAAGCAAAAGGGATTGCAGCAAAAGGCAAAGCCAAATGCAAGCCCAAAGCAAAAGGCATAATGAAAAGGCCGGCGGCGCAGAATGCATCGTCGCGCAAGAAGGCAAAAGCAGAAGGCCGCCATGATGAAGAAGAGGAGACGGCCATGAACGAGGAAACGGAAGAGAATGAAACTCTGCCGGAGGAAAAAAAGAAGAAGGAGAACAAGAAGGAAACGGCAAAGAAGGAGAACAAGAAGGAGAACAAGAAGGACGAGAAGGCAAATGATAAGGACAAGAAGGAAAAGAAAGAGAAGGAAAAGAAAGAGAAGGAAAAAAAAGAGGGCCAGGAAAAGAAGACAGGCAAGAGCAAAGACGAAGAGAAGGCCAAGCAAATCCAGCTGACCCAAAGCAGCGAGGATGAGGAGGAACCAAAGGCGCCTGGAACGGAGACCGCTGAAGAGAAAAGAGACACAAAGAAGGCCTATGTGTTCAACAAGATGCTGCACACTTTGCCAGAACAAGTGCAACAGATCTTTGCAGACAAGCAAATTTCTCGACAGGAAAAAACAAAACTAGTGAACTCAATGGTGGAAGTGAACGAGCACGGGAAGCATGTGCTGAAGAAAGTGGAGGATTGCGATGTCGCTATGGCCATGAGCCGACAATATAGGATTACAAAAGGCAAAGAAAAAGCAAAAGGCTATCCAAGATGTGTGATTGCCGCAAAGCTAGGTGGAGAGATGCAATTGGAACGGGCGTTGCAGTCTGGAGAGGTCATCCCCGTGGAGGACAAGGGCAAGATCTTTTACTGCATTCAGAGCATTTCCATTAGCACAGAGACAGGCAATCAGCAAAGTGTGCAGATGCAGCAAGCTCCTCGACAGCTGCAGGACTCAGAGCAGGACGCACTTACGGCCTTTTTCGACAACTTTGAGCCGGCCTTTGGATCGGCTGCATCGGCTGATGGTTTTTTTGGTTCTCAGCGCAGCCAGCCCAAGCAACCAAAGCGCTTGATGGATGGCATGTCGTTGGCCGGCCAGCAAAGCGGTGGAAGCTTGGGTTTGATTTTGTCAAAGTTTTCCTTTTGAGTTATGTCCATCTTTCTTTAAATATATGTTCAAGTTATGGCATGCTGTCGATCCTTGCAAGGCCAGATGCAATTGGCCCTCATGGACGCGCCATGTTCATCTGCGGCAGCTGCTCCTGCAGACCCTGCCATTTCTTTGCCAGAGAATGTCATGGGAAAAGTGGGTGATGCTTTGGAGTGGGTCAAGAAGGCTAAGGAGTCAGTGAAGAAGGTTTTGCAATCACCTGTGTCTGGACACACAGGGCAAGCCCTCAAGAGCCAGCTCAAGTCAAAGATCGAGATGGTGTTGCGCCACCAAATGGCTTTGGAGGAGTTCCGCATCTGTGCATCGGCGCCGATGAGCGCAGTCAGGCAGTGTCTCCAAGAGACCACCCAGTGCTTGGTCGAAGTCCAGGAGTTGATCAGAGCCATCCATGCCTTAGGTTAGTTTTGTCCAGCGAGGACGCAGACCTTCTATAGAAAGATGGGGAAAAGAGCTGTCATTTTTCAAATTTCCATTTCCACTTGTCCACATTTCCATTTCAACCATGTCTCCACATTTCCACCAAACATAATTCCGCATTTCCCACATTTCCTATATGTCCGCATTTCCCACATTTCCAACCGTCGTTGGTCATTGGTCTCTTTTCCTCACAGGACACTCTCATATATGTCTCCTGCAGCTTGGGTTCCAGCCTCCTAGACTCATTCTTGTTTAGATCCATCGGATCCATGGTGAAAGGAGTGAAGTCAAGCAAAGGTTCTCGCCGTCCAGGACCCCTACCCAAGGTCAAGGCGGCACCGGCACCGCAACCAGAGCCTCCGCAAGGGCAAGGAATGCTTTTGAGGTTCGATGGCGCCGGGTACCAGGTCCTTGATGCCCAAGCTCCAGGAGCTGCAGTTTCTTCGGGCGCCCTTCCCATCTTGGCTGCTGTGCAGGCCTTGCTGTTGAAGAAATCCCTGGAAGGGATGACCCAAGATTCTCCCTCGCCGACCGACGATGAGAACGCAGGTGAATCAGGAGCAGGCGATGCAAGCGCGGCAAGCTCCCATGAACGTGTTGCGGCTGATTTCATTGCAGAGCAGCAAAAGCAGGACGTCGACATGGAGAAGGGCCCAAAGAAAGATGCCAACAAGTCGAAGGAGGGCATCGTGGACAAGTGCTGAATCTGAGAGCCCAAGATGTGCTGGTAGTTTTGACAGAGCACTTTTTCCAACGTTTAGACTCTGACAAAAACTGCTGTCACCTAATTTCCAAGATTTCCTGATTTCCAAGATTTGTTCACTTTCCATTGTCTGAGAGTCCGAGAATTTCCAAGATGTTTCATTTCCATTGTCTGAGTGTGAGTCTCCAAGATATTTCATGTTCATTGTCTAAGAGATCCAGAGTTTCCAAACCATTTCATTTCCACTAAGAGATCCAGAGTTTCCAAGACATTTCATTTCCATTGTCTGAGCGCCCGAGAGTTTCCAAGTATATTCATCAACAGATGAGTCATTTTCATTTCCACTTGTCCACATTTCCACCAAACATATTTTGATTTCCATTTCAGAAAGTCTGAGACCTTTGCTGCGGTGGCCCAAGCAGACCTGCCAGCTGTCCAAGGAGTAGACAGCAGTAAAGTACCCAAATGCCCGAGGATTCCCCAAGGCGCGAGGAATCCCCAATGGCTGACGCAAGCAACCCTGGAAAGACTCAGAAGTACTGCGCGCCTAGGACTGTATTGTTGGTATTCGTACTCTTATTTCTCAATGTGTTGTTTTTTTAAACATTCGCTCCAAGTCCGAGGTATGGGTGGGCGCCAAAGGATCGCCTACGGGATCAACTCTAAATGACCTGTACAACCTGCTGAATGACTTCCAGCCTGTGGAGGTGCACAACCGCGAGTGGGGAGGCAAGGGCTACGCCATCGTGAAAACAAACTCAATCGAGAAGGCGTGGGACTTGTTCAACTACTTGAAGATCCTGGGGTGGAACCTCGGCAAACTTGGATGCCCCACCCAAGAATGTCGAGGAGCAGTGGTTCGATGCCCACCCCTGCAGGCTGTGGAAGGATATCCATGGAACTCACAGCGACTGCAGGTGAAGATCGAAAAGCATGACCAGAAGCCCATGGAAAGTCATGAAGAGCAAGCACTACCTGTACAACCTGCTGCGGATGGAGGCAAGGAAACCGACCAGCAGGAGACTGATGCAGCAGACCAGGATGGCAACGCAAACAAGGACGACCAGGACGACAAGGACGACAAGGACGCGGACACGGATGAGAGGGCCTTGGAGGATAAGGATAAGGAGGATGTGGAAGCAGAGCAAAAGGGTGATGAACAACGCGGTCACAAGCGAAATCTCGGTGCAGCCACAGATCTTCCGAATCTTGTCTTTTCATTCGCTTAGGCTACCTGAGAGCTAGCTTTGTCTAATTTATTTGAATGTCTGTCTGAGCCTCCGTTTTCAGAGGGTTCGTCACTTAAATCATATATGTTGTCTGCAGGAATGATGTTCCTCCTCCAGGGCAATTTGATGAACGAAAGACAAAAAAAGCCAGGCACAGTGTTCTTCTCATAGCTCATTCCAAGCAAGTATTTATTTCTATACATTTTCTTCTCCTGTGCAGGCAGGATGCGGACACAGAGAGCCCGACTCTGTGTTTGGACGACGATGAATCAGATGCTGGTCCACGAGTGAGTTTCAGGAGACGGTTGCTTGTTGACAGGTTTCTGCTATTTTGATGGCCATGACCCTGCAGGAGGTGCCTCAGGAACATGAAGGAGAACATCGATATGGCGCAAAGCTGCTTGTCCACTTGCAAAGCGATCTACCGCCGCCTGCAGCGGCAATACGATCTATGAGGACAGGCCCCCATCATGCTCCCATTCATCACAGCTATATATATTGTTCAAAGAAATTCTGGAATCTTCTTCAAGACATCCACAAATGTTTGATCTTCTCGATCCAAACCTCTGAACTTGGTAGTTATCCAATTAAGCTTTTCTTTCAATTTCACGCACGTGAGCTCTTTCTTTCAAATTGTTATCATTAGTTTTACAATAGTGTTTAATATATATTTCAAAGTTTCATCAAAGTTTTGTAAAACTTTGAAATATGGATTTCAAAGTTTTGTCAAACTTTGACGAAACTTGGAAATTTGAAATCAAAGTTTCATCAAAGTTTGACTTGATGAGTCAAAGTTTAATCAAACTTTGATTTAGGCATTTCAAACTTTGACCAAAGTTACAATACGAAAATCAAAGTTTGATCAAAGTTTGATTGTACATATCAAACTTTGACAAAACTTTGATATCATTTCAAAGTTTCATTAAAGTTTGATATTCTCAATAAAACTTTGATCAAAGTTTACTTTTGAAATCAAAGTTTGACTAAACTTTGAAATCTTGAAATCAAAGTTTGATTAAACTTTGAATTCTCCAGTCAAACTTTGATGAAACTTTGATTTTGGAATTCCAAGTTTCGTCAAAGTTTGACAAAACTTTGAAATCCATATTTCAAAGTTTTACAAAACTTTGATGAAACTTTGAAACAAATTGTGCGGCACCTTGTCTATTTTCATTTTTTCACACAATTCCTTGCTCAATTTCATCAATTTGGCGCTTTCCGTGGTCCCTGCGCAGGAGCGTGGATTTCCAGAAGCCGTGAGTTCTTCCAGAGGAAAGGACAAAAAAAGGTTGCTTGCGTCTGCGCACGAGACTTTTCCAAAGTTTCCAAGGCAATTTCCAGAGAGATTTCCAGAGAGTTGTCCGGAGAGTTTTCCAGAGAGTTCTTCAAACTTTCAAGAGAGTTTTCTGATATTTTCCATAGAGAGTTTCCAAGGAGAGCTACCTGTCAGATATTTTACAGAATGTCCATGTCAGCTTGTGGCCCAAATGAAACTACAGGAAACAAAACATCGCTGGCTCAAGTTCACACGACATCGGAGTTACACATTGGTATATTGTTCACACAATGTTCAATCAACCTCATGGAATTACACATCGGTAGACCATAGTCCCAGTCTTTTACCTTCAGGTTGTCACTCCCATGAGCGAGGTCTCACAGTATGCGCTTTCCAGAGGCGGCGCTTCACAAAAGGCAAAAGCATTTGAGGAACAACACTTCAAGAGTGTAAGGTCTCCTACTCATTTGTCAGATTTGCTTATCCAGCTCTTTGTCTGGGGCCAAGTCCCTGCAGTATTGGTTCAGCAAATTGCGGCTGCTGCCATCGAAGACGTTGAAGAAGCTAAAGGGCCAACAATCAGATCGTGGGCAATTCTAGCTGGATTGGGAAGCAAAGGCCTTCATACCAACAATGTGAACCGGGACTTGCTGCGCAAACTGGACAAGCCAAGTTTTATGCTTTCCTGGCATGGTATTCCACAAAGGGCTGCTGCGACCAAAGGCAGCGTGGGGCGCACAGCCATTCTCAGGCTTCCTTTGTTGTTGCCTCGAGATGTATGGTGTAGCATTTGGAAGTCGGGGACCTTCAAGCAGTTCATTTGTCACACTGTCAGCGATTTGGAAATCTTTTGGCAAAGCACGGACACGCACCCGGCCGTGCAGCATCACCCAATGAAACAAATAGAAAACTGGCGGCGGCGCGCTGTTCCTTTATCTCTGCATGGGGATGCGGCAGCGATTACTCTTGGTCTAGGTTCTTCCAGCAAAAGCTGTTTATTCTTGAGCTTCAAGTCTATGGTTGCCAGAAAAACATTCCAACACTTTCTGCTTGCAGCAATTTGGTCACATTGCACGGTGAAGACTGAGACTGGGGCCTTCAACACCAGCAAGAGTCTCTTCAGAATAATCTCAGATGACTTCCTGCAAATGCTGTCGGATGAAGGTAAATACAGCGATGGCTACTTCCCAGTGGTTCTGTTCACGACCGGCGACCTTGAATATTTCGCTGATTGGCATGGTTTGCCCCGATGGAATTCCAAACGACCATGTGCATTCTGCGCTATTTCCAATCGTGAAATTGGAAATTGGAAATTTGTGACAGCTTTGGAACCAGATCCATGGCAAACGCCACGAACTTCTAAATGCCCTCTCTTCAGGAGCCTCGTATCTCCTCAGGGAGTTTGCCCAGACTATATGCACACAAAGCACCTGGGCACAGATTTGCGTTTCCTAGGCAGTGTTTGTTGGCTGCTGCTCATGACTTTGATGCCAGATGTGCTTCTGCTGGAAGACCGCCTTCAGACATTGCTTGCAGAACTAAAGGAGTATTGGTCAATGAACCAAATGCCTATGGGAATCAACGCCTTGACAACAGGCATGGTGATGGCTGTCAACGACAAGCAGTGTTGGAAGACCTATCCAAAATTGAAAGTAAAAGCCAATGAAGCAGCTCTATCTCTCCCAGCGTTCAAAGCTATTTGGGAGAAGAGAATGAATGGCAGTGAGCAAAGCCATATTTGGGTAAAACTTGCGCTGGAAGCCACTTGCAATATGGATCGTATCTTGCGGGATTCCAACGAACAGTGGAAACTTAGCATTCCTGAGTCCAACAAACTTTGGCAGGCTGCAATCCAGTTTACAGTTTGCAACTCGGCCCTGGAGAAGCACTTTGCGAAGGAGAACAGGTGCTTATTCAAGCACAACACATTTAAGCATCACTGGTTGTTGCATTGTTGCAAGATGGCGGCTTTTGTTTCTCCACGCCATGTATGGTGCTACAGTGGGGAAGACTTCATGCGAAAAATGAAAAAACTCATGCAAAGCTGCTTGGCTGGCAGAGCTGCGCTCAGTTCGCAGCGCAGGTTCATGGAGCGTTACGTTTTGGCCCTGACCTTCGAGCTCAAGCACGCAACTTCGACCTGGAAGTTGAAATAAAAAAAATCAAGTTTGATTTCCATTTCAGAATGTCCACTTCCATTGGTCCACATTTCCATTTCCACTTGTCCACATTTCCATTTCGAACAAGTGTCCACATTTCCACCATTTCAGAATGTAGGAAGCCATTGGTCCACATTCCATTTCCACTTGTCCACATTTCCATTTCAAACATGTCTCCACATTTCCACCTAACATAATTCCGCATTTCCCACATTTCCCCACATTTCCATTTCCATTTCCACATTTCCATTTCCATTTCAACAGTTTCGATACAATTTCTTTCCATATTGTAGCCGCATGGCTCTGCAGCCACTCCAAAGTAGGTTCTAGGTGCTCAAGTTTCAGTTGCGTCAATGGAGCCGGCGCGTTTTGCTGTCAATGAAAGAATCAAGGCCTCGCCGGACATCACTGTCAGTGCTTTAGAGGACGCGCTGAAGCAAGGCTTTGACCAGATTGGCCATAGAAATCTTTCGGCGCTTACTCCACAGCTGGAGGGTATGAGCTGGAAGACAAGTCCTGCAAAGCATTTGCAAGCCTTTGTCATCCTGTGTCCAATTCTCCAGGCACTTCTTGGTGTGTGCAAAAATGGCCTTGTGCCTGATGCAAAGCTGCAGAGTGCGATGAGAGCGTGCCATGACAAGGAAAACTTCGTATGCCTTTCAGAAGGGTACCAAGCGCTATCCAATTACGTCCTGCTTCGACTTCGGCAGATGGCTGCCAAGATCAGAGACTTGATCAGCGGCTCTAATGCTTGGGAAGTTTTGTCAAGGAAGTGCAACAATCAGCAGAAGGATGTGTTCATCCGCTTGATTCGCTGTATTTGCCCAGCCTTCCTCAAGGAAACTGGTGGTGGCCAAGCTCCCACAAACATCGACCACGACCAGCTCCATGCACATGTTCCTCAAGCTTCCGGCCACCATGAACAAGCTTGGTTCATGAAGTCTTCAAGTGTTCCTCCAGCTGTTGCAGACAACAGTTCCCAAGCTTGTCAGCTTATACCTGCGCCTCAATGCGACCATGGACATGCCTCCCTGCTGGAGCCTTGAGCTGCTAATATTTTTCTAGTCGGTGTTTTTCCCCAGAAATTTGTTGTTCATTTCGCGTTGTGTTCGTTTTTCTCGCTCCTTGGAAGGCGGATTTTACAAGCATGTTTCTGGAAGACGATGGCCAAATGGGATTTGTCCAAAAAGCTGTGGCCCATGCTGCGAATGTGGCCAAGGAGGTTTTGGCGAAAAGTGTTAGAACTCACGAGTTCGAGAAGAAAGGCGCCTCGCGTAAGCCTGCTGCCCGGCCTTCGAAAAAACCTTCCGCAAAGCCTTGGTGGGTGCAATACGATGTTGAAGCCAAGAAGTCGCCACTGGCAATTTGGTATCAGCGTGACAAGGCAAAAGGTCTGACCATGTCCGCCAAGAACTTTGCCAGCCGGGTTTACCACTTGGTCGACAAGCATGTGGGACGGGATGCTGCAAAGAAGGCCCACCAGGATGCCCTTGAGTATACGCGTGGCTGCTGAAATGTCTCACTTTCAATTGGGGTTAGTCAGCATGTCTAGGCCAGGTGTCAGTCAACACCTGGAGGCCTGCTGCCTGGGAGAAAAAGAAACTGCAGAGATACTCCACGCTGCAACATGAAAAACACATTAAGAAAGAGGCAAATGTCAGTTTTTCTTGTCAGATGTCATTTTTCCATTTCCCGTTTCCATGTGTCAACATTCCCACGTTCCTCTCGACAATGTCAGTTCAGATGTCATTTTCTCCAATGATCTCAAACTGCAGATTTTGGGGCTCAATAAGGCCTGGTTTGCTCTATATTTTTGTAATTTCGCTATGCCGGGGGCAGATGTCATGTGCAAGCAGAAGCAGATGCTCAAAACCATGTCCACACCTGGTTTGATGGCGAAATGGTATTACCTGAAAAGATGCGCACCAACAAAGAACGCGGCACATGCTCTGGCCCGAAAGATTGAAAAGGAATTGATCAGACGCGGAGCTTTGATTGCTGATGACGATGAGACGACCCTGAGTGATGCATCTGATTAGACGTCCTTAATTCAAACAAAATTCAGGCTACACGAAGACACCGGTTTTACTTGGAAACCGGTTTCTTGCCTTGCCTGGAGATGTTGAGTGCTTCAACTTAATTTGTGAAAAAAAACGTTTTTGCACATTTTTCACCACCACCATTTCCCAGGCACACTTTTCCATGTTCAGAATTTCCCATTTCCAACAGCATTTTCTTAAACTGAACCCTCTCTTTTCTGCAACGCGCTCTCTGAAAGGCTTTCCTCTCTGACAAGTTTTTGCTCTCTGAACCGCGTGCTCTCTGAAACCTCTCCTTTGTTCTCTCTGACATCTCCTTTCTGAAACTGAAAACCGGGCTAGCTCTCTGACATGTTTGCCTTTCTCTCTGGCATCTTGTCTCCGTTTTTCGGCAACATTTTCGCTCAAACCTCTTCACTCTGAAATCTCTCCCTCAGAAAATGTTGTGTGTCACACTGAGAATTTCAAAGTTCTCTTACCCGTTTCATGTGTGAGTGCCTTACAGAATCTGAACACAACAAATCAAAACTCAATAAAACACATCAAAGTTTCAATGTCTTATTATGCTAATAGACTAAACTATTTTTGCTGCTAAATAGTATATATATACTAATATAGACTTTTAGTTTATTACATAGGAAATATACTATTAATAGACTAAGAGGATCCTATGGGTACCAATTGCCGGCTTACCTCCCGCCGCTCATGCAGTACTCCATCGTGAACTTCTTCATATACATTCTTCTTTACATTTGATTCTCCTGATCCTACGTGGACCTTGGGATACCGTCACTCCCTCCATCGTGGGCACGATCACTAGTCCTCGTCTTCGTACCACCCTTCGTGCCCTTGAGACTAGCATTGAACAGATTCGACGATCTACCTGCACTACATTGGTATACACGGATGAACTATGCTCCGCTTTGGAACTTCCACATCCTACTGGCCGCTTGGTTTCTTCTCCCAACTCTTTTTCCTCATCTATGGCCTTCCCTCGCCTTATCATCTCTCCTCCTTCTCCACCATCGACGACTACGACGACGACTACCATCTCCTCCTCAGACTACTCACCCTCTCCCTCCTTCTTCGAACCCTGCTTTGACATTGACGCGAATGCCACGCTCTCGCTCACGTTCTCGTTCACGACCACCTACGAGACGATTCTGATTGTAGGTGGATTTCTCACACACCTGACCACTTTTGGTTTCGGAAGCAAAGAAAAGAGTTCCTTTTTCTCCACACGTTAGCTTGACCACCACTTTTGGATCTCTTCGACATTGATACTCTATTATTCTTTCACTACCCTTGGGCTCACCAGCGGCCGCTCGTTTCGCCCTTTTGTATCTCGCCGCCTTTTCTGCCATGGCTTCGACACCCACACCACCCTGTGGTCTTGCCCCGGTTCCAGGCCTTCCACCTCGTGCTCAAGCAACGCTACATCGTGAACTTCTACTCGTACATGTTCTCTTGGCCCAGATCCATTCGCTGCTGCATATCCCGCTCAGCATTCGTACCCTTCCATTTATGTATCGAGTGACACACCCACAACTCCGAGCTCAACTTGAAGGATTGGACAACACGCTCCTTCTTGCCCTTTTCGCCTCAACCACACTGCCGTGCACTACACCCACGAGCTCCTCACTGCCTTGGGCCTCCTGCATATCATTCAACAGAGTCCGGAACAACTTGAAGATGAACTCGAAGGTCGCACAGACTTTGGCGATCGCGCATCCCTCTCTACACTTCCTGTTCCTTCCCACTCTACTACGACTTCATCAAGGACTACCAGGACCCACAACACTGCTGACCGGATGCCTCCCTCTTCTGAACCTCCGCCCTCTCGCCTTGTACCTCGGCCTCGCCTTCACATGCGCTCGAGATCTCGCTCTCGCCCTCGTTCGACCAGGTCCTAACTTATTCGTTTCACCCTGTACTTTGCCAGAAGCAGAAGAAAAAGCGATTCTTTGCTTTAGCTTTATTTTGATGATACCTTCGTTTTGCCTCGTTTGCTTCATTGGTGACCGCACCTTTGATTTGAACCTCGCCATTTCCTTCCCTTTACATGTCCTTTTCGGGCTCCAGTCTTTGCGACATGACTATACACGAGATGACTATCCACCCTTCCCATCTCACTTACGAATTTCCTTTCCATTTACATATCCTTTCCTTGTTTTTCCTCTTGACGAGTTACGCTTTCCGGGCGACTACCTGCCTCATGGCGAGCTCTGGTTCTTCTCCGGAATCCCATCGCCCTCATCGACGACGTGATCTTGGTCGCACCTCTCGATCAAGGGATACGAGGCACATCGAAGAAGTCGACTATGATGCTGATGACAACACCCCCCTACCATCCATCAACCCACCACCGGGCACTGAAATTGCACGTGGCCTCCCAGTCCCAGATCCACCACAACCTTCTGACACTGTCGCCGGCGACACTTCTCACCAGACTACCACCTCACATCGAACTGTTTCCGGCCCACCTTTGACACCACGTCCTCACCATTCCCAGTTTCCCTTCCCTCGACCACATTCACCCCCTGCCTTTCCACCCACCCCACCAACACATCTTACTGGTCCACTTTTTTCCACCACCACGAGTACAAGCGCCTCGTCCCAGGCCTCCACTTTCTCACCCTCGTGCTACTGGTCCACCACCTCACAACCCGTATGCACCCCGTCCGCGCCCCAGGCAACCACTTTCTTCCCGCGACCATCGCACTTCGCGGACAACACGCTCCCCTCTTACACGGCAACTCGATCGGCGACGTTCCCATCCCAGGAGCCGCTCTCCCCACTCTCGCCGACCGCGTGAACATCGACGCCGATCACCTGTGACGTCGCGCTCCCGACGTGACGACCACCCCAGTCGCCGATCGCATTCTCGACATCGCCGTTCCCAAACACACAACCGGGAGACTCGCGAATTCCCCAGGAGCGCCATCGCTCCTCCAATCTCCCCCCAACACGTTCACGATCGTGTCATTCCAGCACCCATCGTGGCCGACCACGGGCAGGCCATCACACTTCTCTTTCGGCACCTCGGGCCACCTCACACAGCACACCCGTTTCGCCTCCAGCCTCAGTTCGCCCTCCTTCTGATCGGGACTCTTCGGGGGCGCCAGCACTGGTACTACTACCTGGGCCCGGTGATCGTCCACATTCACAACCTACACCTCCAGGCTCCACCTCCATCTCACGGCCCACCACTCCACCTCAAGCATTTCAACCACCTCCTCCCGTTCCACCTCTCAGCACCCTCCCTCCCGCCGAGGCGGAAGAACTTCGACAACTCCGCCTTCAATTTCAACAACAACAACATGCTGCTCATCACCTTCAACAGCAGGCTCTCCTTCACTCCTCGTTCAATCCTTTCTTTTCCCCCTTCCAACTCTACTTTCCACAGCCCACACCATCCCCCTTGCCCATCCCCGCGGCTCCACCTTCCACCAACACACCATCGGGCCCTCCACCAGCTTCGGCCCCTCCATCGGCTCCAGAACCAGAACCAGTTGAACCTGAACCCGCCGACCTCTCCATTTCCCTTTTCACATCTCAGGCTTCCACCCAAGCCCCGGCTTCCACTTTGGCTGCATCGACCAATCGATCTCCCGATCGTTCACTTCGACCTGAAACCCCTCCACGAATGTCTCTCCAATGGGTTCGGCGCAGACCTGACTTCACCTCCCTGGAACATTCAGGCAAGTTGGTGCACCTCATGGACAATGTCATGGAGATCGCTATTGACTTGAGTCCTCAGAAACAAATTTGGACTACACCTTTTTGGCTTCACATTCGCCCATCCAGTCCTGCTGACCTTTGGCACACGATATATGAACACCTCTTTCACGACTGGAGTGACCTTCTCTCGCTTGTCAACAGTACCGCAAGTACCTGATTGAGGATCCCAACCGGCCATATAGCTGGGAAGAATGCGAAGCTCCTGAGGTACTACCCCGCACTCTTGTGGACACCACCATCCAACAGCTCAGACGCCTACTACCAACACCCCTTCGTCGCGTCCCCGCGACCTCTTGGGGCGACCACTTCGGGAACTTTATCACCTCCCTCGCCCACATTCCCCAGATCCTTGAGAAGTCACCCGTATTTCTTTGGGGAAAACTTCCGTGCCATGACTCCCTTGTCCTGCTCCTCAAGCTGGACTATCCCAAGACCGGATACTTCCATTGGACCCCGCATCAGACCATCTACACCTTTGTTCACAACTGTCCTGGAATTTAAGTCTTGTTCCTGCTATCCGGGGCTTGAAGTTATATCTGAGGGTTCAGGCTTATTGCTGCTCCTTGAGCCAAGTGGGAAGGGGGGGGTGAGCTGGAGGTGGCTCGTGTCACACGCTTGTGCGTTCCCCCTTTGTTAAGGCTTGTCGTCGCCTTTAGGTTTGTTGGATTGCTGCAGCCACTGGCCAGGTGTGGCACCTGAGCCAGTTATTGTCACGAAACAAGAATTGAATCCG